ATAAACTGAATCGAAAATAAAATGAATAAAGTTGAATTGAATTGTCATAGAAATACAAAGAAGATTGTTGCTATGTTAGGAAGAACTGCAAGAAGGGAAAGGTGTTAAAATAAACGTTTGAATGTTTTTGTCCACATGCATAAAGGTCATACTTATGATGCAGACAAACACATATTCAGGTTAGAATGACGCTCATGCTCGGTCTACATGGCAGACCACTTTACTTACCTTCTCCCCTCTGTCACCTTTGACAGAGGTCAGTTTGCCCTGCAAATAATTAATCGATAAGGATCAATTATTATCGAGGCTGCAAGAGAAGAGCAACAGTTGGAAGGCATGCAGTGAAATAAAACGTGATTTCTCCCTACATTACTACCATCTACAGCATTATCTAGAGCCTTTCATTTATTGTCAGATGGAATTTAATGGCTTGCTTTTTTCTCTTCATTCGAAAAAACATATTGGTGAAAGTGCACACTTAAATATTCATACAGAGTCTCCTTTTTCCCCTTTGATGCCTGGTGGTCCGAAGGCCCCCTTAGGGCCAATGTCACCCTGAAAAAGGTAGGCACATTCGCAATGTAAAGATCTAAGTAGGCATGATGACAACAATTTAGTTTATCACATCAGACTATGATAATGCAGCGGCAGATGACCTTGTCACCCTTTAGACCTGGAAAACCACGTGGGCCGACGTCTCCCTGTGAGAAATATAAGAACGCTGTTGTCTTCTGAAATCTTTCAAAACGAGGGATTCCACAATAAAAATGGCCACCGCGGACTGGGATGAAATGTGGCATCGCTTTACCTTCGTCCCTGGAGGGCAGGAGCAGTTCGCTTCAGGGCCTTTTTTCTGCTCTGCAACAGTCGGTGTTGGTGTGGGGATCCATATCGGAGGAGCCTCTGTCACAACCTTCTTAGGGCACTGAAATGACACCGAGGATTGTTGATTAGAAGCCAGTTTACTTAGGAGCTAAAGGCAGATCTATGCTGCTTAGACAAAGTCTTACAGCTTTTCAATCATCTTTTGGATATCAGACATGCTTTTTTTTGTATCTATGGTAGTTTTAGCTAAAATGCTTATAGCTTTTTCACAAATCATATGCCTATCAAACTCTACTTTGGCACATGTTGGGCCATAATCTGACTGATTTGGTCGCAGTTAAGGCTTGACTGGCTTGAGTTTTCAAAACTAGAATCCAAAAAAAACTGTGGAAAGGGATTAAGTTAGATGCACCACTGGCTAAGTGTCGGGTCAAGATTCTACTGTATTTTTGGGAATGGCTTTGAATACTACTTTCAATTATGTAATTTATTATATCATCCATCAGCATTATTTGTTTTTTCCTTTTTTAACCAGATAAAAACAACCTATTTAGGCAGAGGTCTCACTTCAAGAGTGGCCTGGTCAAAATGTCGACAACCTTAGAAGCACAATGCACCAAAAACACAACTGGATAATAATAAAACAAATCCATTCTAAAATGTAAGATTTCCCACAATTTCAAAAAAAACAGGCAGTATTCTGTTGATATCTGTTGCCTTTTATGTAAATAGCAAAAAAGAGTTTTAAATGAGATAAGTTCATAGAGTTTTCTCTTATTTTGTTTTTTACTTTTTTATATTCAGATTTTCATATTTTTATTTATCAAATATTTTTCTAAATATTTTATAGTAATATTTGTTTTCAATTTGTTTCACTGTAATTTTTACTGATTTTATATATTATTTGTATTTTTCTGCCCCCGTTTTTCAGATGCTGTTTTTATTGCATTCTTTACAAATTGCGTTTCACTTTTCGGGGCTGCGCACACTCACTGTTGTGCAACACGTGCTTCGTAAGCAAGTTTTAGATGCTCTTGAAGTGAAGAGAACATAATTTTTGAAACACAATTTGAACAGAATGCGATATCTTAAACTCAACCTGAAAAACTTGATGTTAAAAATAAAAATGAAAAATAATGAAAAAGCATAATTAAAATACAAAACGTTGGGAAAATATAATCTATTGAAAAAGTGAAAACATAAAACTTAAAAATGCAATCTTAAATAAAAATTTGAATAAAAAATTACTTTTAAAGCCTTTATGAAATAAATATTTTTTTAAGTTTCATTTCTGGATTACTGTTTCTTTTTCAAATTTTCATTGAGAATTACATTATTTTGTTCTTGCAAAATAATGTAACATAATTCACTCCATATTCTGTCATCATCCAGAATGTGTTTAGTCTTTTGTAGTTGCTGTAAGATACAGCAACATGTGAAAAAATATATATATAAACTACAGCCTTTTCAAACATAGATATCCATAGCTAGAATTTTCCACTGTGTGAATCTACAGGCAGTTATACTCACAGGCCCATTAGGGAGATCACAGCAGGTTTCTAGCTCTGCATGTTTGGAATCACAGTAAATCATCATCCTCTGGAGGTCAAACTGAGCAGATAGACAAAAAAGGTCAACATCTAAAAAAAAAAAAAAAAAACATCTGCAGTAAATTCCACTTTTAAGAATAAAGGTGAGAGCTCACATCTATCGGAACACTATCGTACAGCCTTTTCCCAATCACTGTCCTCCCCTGAATGTCTATGTCTTCACGGTCTTCGATCGGCAAAGTCTGGATGTGTTTGCAGTCCAGGTACAGGGCCACAGACTTAGCATCCACACTGAGGGCTATTTTGTGCCAGTTGCGGTCAAAGAGGTTGTCTACTTCAGGGTTCTTGAACACAGATCTGACAGCATCTTTCGTCAACCCCACTGCGTTGTACTCCACTGCTTTGTTCTCACCGTCCAGACGTATGGAAACCTGGAAGTGACAGTTAGGATGAAGTCACTCTGGCTTAGGATGATTTTCTCAAGTACACTGCAAAAAATGTTAATCTAAATGAGTTTACTCTTAAAATAGGTGCATTTTTTCTTGAATTTGCTAATGAAACAAGACAATTTACATTTAAAATAAGGAATAAACAACTGCTTTGTCTTATTTTCAGTGCATATTATCTAATTTTCATATTTTAAGAGAAGAAATACTCATTCCATTGTCAAATCTTCTAATTTATCTGCTCAAATTAAGATTAAATAAACTTAACTTACGGTAAGAAATTATTACTTATTTCAAGGTTGTTGAATGATTGCTTGTAAATTCTAGCTCTCTTGTTTGGGGAACATTACTTTACAGGAAGATTTATTATACCGGTAGTTTATATTTGGCTGACCCACCTGTGGGATTCCATATTTGTCAAAAATCTGCCAGAGGTACCAGTCCTCTCGTCTTGAGGTTTTCCTGAATTTGAATGTGGTCACAAAAGCGTATTCATCTGGTAAGCCCTGAGGAAACACATCCCTGCAAAATAAAGCAGCACATTAAATACTTTCTTTTACTGCGATTTTAAGCATAAAGCCATATAGCAAATCCTCAGCGGTTACAACTATATACCTTATAAAGTACCATGGAAAAATATTCAACTTGTATATGTAGTTAGTGGAGCTTGAATTGTGAAGAAAAAAAAGTATTTAAAATGTACATAGTTAACACCTGAATCAATCATCTTTCGCCTAAATGATTTCTGAGACTGTTGCCTAGGATCTGTTTAAGGGCTGAGGCGACATTTAGAAGGTCAATAATAGTTTGTTTAGCCCAGGGGTCTTCAAGCTGGGGCTCTGGAACTGCAAATGGCTCCTTGGACTTTCCTCAGTGCCTCAAAATAACTTGAGAACCAGTAAATGTTTTAACAGATAACTGAAGGTTTTAATGCACTGGAAAAAATCTAAATCTTTATAATTTATTTTCTCTTAAAATAACTGCATTTCTTCTTGGATTGAGGAGGTAAAGGATACATTTTGCCAATGGAACAAGACAATTTACATTTTAAATAAGAAAACACAATTGCATTGTCTTATTTCAAGGTGCATTTTATCTAAATATCTTATTTTAAGAGTAAAAATACTCATTCCATTGGCAAATCCTCTTATTCACCCACTGAAATTAAGGGTAAATACACTTAATTTAAGAATTTTTTACTTATTTCTAGATCGTTTCTCCAGTGTGGTAGGGGTGCAGATGAAAATTATTTAGAATACACCTTTCTGCAGCGACAGTCTTGGTTATACAATGGAAAAAAATCGAAATCTAGATAAGTCAATTTTTCTTAAAATAAATAGATTTTTGTTGGATTAAGGAGGTAAAAGAGACATTTTGCCAAATAAACAAGAGAATTTACACTAAAAAAAAAGAAAACATAATTTGATTGTTTATTTCAAGTGCATATTATCTAATTTTCTTATTTTAAGTGTCAAAATACTCATTCCATTGGCAGATTATCCCATTTACCTACTCAAAATAAGGATAAATGTAATCAATTTAAGAAATGTTTACTTATTTCTAGATCGTTTTTCCAGTGTATTAGGTAGGTCTAATCTAGCTTTTATTGCTAGCTGTAGGATAAGCTGTTAAGAGACTAGTTTTGCACCACCATGCAGGTGCGTGCGAACACGCTGTGTTTTCGAGTCGTCCAGATGAGAGTTGACTCAACTTAACAAAGTCGGCTTTTTGACGTTTTGTGAGGCTATCATTCAAAGACAGGCTCTGACGCTCTGACATACTGTCAGACTTTATGTGACTTCATTTCAGGGATGTTGACAGTAATCATGATGCAGCTCTCTTTTTAGCACAATCCAGCATTCAGTGCTGGAAAACACTTTGTGCCGCTAGCAGAGCTTTTTCACAAGTGTTAAAATGTGTCCTATTTAGTAGATAACTAAATAATTATTCAGTGTTTATATTCAAAAACAGAATCACATTGAGTGCATTTTACATCTTTTTAAACAATGTAAGTATCAGATTCTGGAATAATGTAGGTTTCTGCTCTAGTAAGTTTCATTCTGGCATTACTACTCTTGCAAATACTACACTGCAAAAAATCTAAATCTAGATAAGTCATTTTTTCTTAAAATAAGTGCATTTGTTCTTGAATTGAGGAGCTAAAAGATACATTTTGCCAATGGAACAAGACAATTTACACTTAAAATAAGAAAACACAATTGCATTGTCTTATTTCAAGTGCATATTACCTAATTATCTTATTTTAAGACTAAAAATACTCATTCCATTGGCAACTATCTCATTTACCTACTCAAATTAAGGGTAAATACACTTAATTTAAGACATTTTTTACTTATTTCTAGATCGTTTTTGCAGTGTAGTAAGCCTATGCTTATGTATAAACCACATTTTTTTCTGTATTTGCAAAATCATGGAAAAGGTGTAACAATTTTTTCTGTCCAATGTTATAAGGACAGCTCCGAACAATAAGTCTTTGAATATTAATAATTCATTTAATTGGAAGTAGCCAGACAAAAAACTGGCCCATATTTTCTTCACTTTTGATAAAAAATATGAAGTAGGAATGTTTTTTTATGTCACTTACTCTGTTTGTTGGACTATTGGCATTGTCCCAAGGCGAACATATGAACTCTGGCCTTCATCAAGCCTGGCCCCCAGGATGTCCTTAACGTTGAAGTACTTCATGAGGTCGAACCCTGCCGCATCAGAATAAAACAAACCCATTGGAGACCAAAAAAAAAGTTTGGAATCATCATAAAAACATTTTGCAGATGTTTTTAAAGATTTTTTCTGGGCAATTTCAAAGATCAACCATCATCTAAATATTCTGTCCCAATATACAGTATATGAACTATTCTTTGGATTAACCGTTTTGATGCAGAACGTGGTCCTTCAAGGAGAGAATTTAAAAAGGTAGAATAGACCCAGGAACACTCACACAATAATACAAGCATCTTTTGAGCATTAAGGCGGAGTGATGGTTTAGGACTTCTAGTGTCGGGCCGAAGTTGAAGTGGGTCAGTCCCACCACACCCTGCAGCTACTGTGTTTTGTGGCCATTTGAGGGAAAAGCTGAAATCACTGCTCTGTTGCTGAACAGCTGGTAAATTGAGCAGTTTGTTGGGAACTGAAATGTTTGTTAGATTTGCTGCCAGAAAGAAAATAACTAATAGTCATTGCTGGCAAGGCTCTCTGAGCGTGTGTGCACGCGTGTCTATGGTGCCCTACGGTATGTCATTTGAAGTGGTGCAACCACAGCCCATATTTAGGCAGTTTGAAAAGGCCACTCCCTTGTACAGCAAACAAGTGCTGTAGTCATGGCAATGCCAGCGTTTGAAGGATTCTGCTTGTTCTGAGGCTGACAGTTTTCTCTGCAGTGAACATGTTGAGTGGAATAAGCTATTTCCAAAGAAAATAACATGACATTAATAAATCTAAATGATAGAGAGCACTTTAAACTATCCCCGCAGTGCTCTGGTAATGCGGTCAAATCTGTGGGATACAAGGTTTCCAGGGGGATTATTTACACCAGCACAGTAATCTTTAAAAGGAGGAAGCAGAGCATTAGAGTGGTAATGTGAGAGTCTGGGGAAGGCTCAGTGGGTATCGTAGGGAAAAACAGCTTAGAAACAGGTGGTGGGAAACAGAGGGTGCCCTGGTGGAGCTAGCAACATAGTAATAATGAATAAGTGATTTTGAATGTTGTATGCATACATAAGATCCTTTAATATGTCTACTTTTAAGGAAATTCTGCCTCTTTTCGTCCTAGTTGTGTCTAGAGACATTAGCAAAGCATCTTCAGGCTAATTGTTGTTCTCTTAAGGTAAGGTGAGACTGCATTCTTGAGTTAAAACAGAAGCCGCAGGAAAATCAAAGCAAGAACCCTGGCACAGAGTCCCAGAACTGGGACGATTCACTAAATACATGCTTTTTGCTTCGCAGGACTTTTGCCACACGGCACTTCTGAGCTGCCCTTTATAAGGAAATAACATGTAAATTGTTTGTTCCAGCCGCGAAATCCATATTTGCCCTTGAGTTGGAGCTAATGACAATAATAACTGATTACAACAACAAAAAATACAATGATCAAAGTAATAAATATTATTTATATGGTACTTTATAGAAAAGTTAAAGGAGGAAGAAGCAATAGGTCATTATTTTAGGTTAAAAGAACAGAAAAATAGTAATATGAAAAGCTTATGATGTCTTTTAAGATTAAATATGGCATGATGACACAACAGGCTGTGCATGGTTGTATATGATGGAAAAGTTCCTTTGCTAACATGATCTTGGAGCAGATGATTGGCTTAATTATTAATTTCATTCACCTGTCTAACTCTGCCCCGTTTCAAATCACTGCTCATCTGATCCACCTACTCCTGCCCCTACTTAAGGTGCTGGCATTCAGTCATCAGGCTCAGATTATGTTGGTCTCTCTAGCCAGTGGTGAGACTGTTTTTAAGAGTTCCTTGATATTTCTGATTCATGATCCAGACCCGTTTTACCTCTCAACCACTGAGCCTGCCTCCCATCTGATCTGTTTGCCTGAACTGTCTTTGGACTCCTGGACCTCTGAGCCTCTCTATCCCTGTTCTGATCTGTTTAACTAAACTGTCTTTGGGAACCTGGACATCTGGGCCTGCCTGTTCCTGTTCTGATCTGTTTGCCTGACCTGGCTTTGGACTCCTGCATGTTCTAACCCTAACCCTGCAGCATTTGGGACACTCTGGATGGCGCCCGCCGCATCTTGTTGGCAGCCCACCGGCTGGATCCTACCTTGTTCTCTGGGCATGGACTGAATTTGAAAACCAGGTTAGTGACTCACATTGGTAATCATCCGCCATCAGATTATCATGGTTACCAATCTGTGTTTCTCTCCAAAGAGGTACCAGCCTTAGATGCCCTAAGCTCTACTACTCCAATTTGTTGTTTAGATAAGTGTGTTTGGAATTATCCCACTGTCTGTCTGGCCTTAAATACTGGGTCATTTCTTCTGAATGATGACATTAACAAGTTATTAGTTACCTACTTCTTCAAAAGATAGGATCCAATGAAAGGTGATGCTGTTTCATATCTATTTGCATTTATTGTCTGCAAAGCATCTGAAGGATGCAGATAAAGTGGAGGTTTAACTTTAGCTTCACTTGTGTGTTAAAGGGCCCAACTTTCCAAGCAGTGAGATTTTCAGTATTGCTTATTTACAAAATCAAATATTGATCCAAAAACCTTAAAAACTAACTATGTCAACATTTATCTGTCAGATAAATAGCCACACACAGTAAGAATAACAGCAGTAACATTACACCCTGCTGGATGTGTTCCCACTAACCTCTCACTGTCCCAAAATATTACAAACCATCAAAATGATTTTCTAAAACATAACCGTGCCCATTGATAAAAAGATTCCTTTTGTTTGATCTCTGATTGTGATTGTTTTTTCACAAGCATGAACCAATATTCAAGTTCAGCAAATATGTTTTTTTTTTGTTCTGGTTTAATTGCATGAAGATTATCTTCATTAGTTTGTGTGTAAATCTTTTTCTCCCCTAGTATTTTACTGTTTTTATTTCTGACATTCCAAACATTTGCTCAGACTTTTGCTCACAGATTTTCTCCCCATCAAATCGCCACAATCATTGTGGAGATTTCTAGGTTTGAGGTTGCACCTGAATTTCAAATGAACCAGACAGAGAATGTAATGTGTATCAGGTTTGACAAATCATTTTTTGGGTACCAGGTATTCCCATTAGCTTATCATATGCATTGTATTTTCTGTGGTTTGCCCATAAGAATATCCTCTGCATATTCATAAAAGCCACACCATACAAAAACGTGCTGTAAAACTTAATCTACACAAGCAACATCAATCGTACCTGCTTTGAGGTTCAGCTTTGAACATGTAAGCAAACAGCTATTTTGAAAATGACACTTTTTGTGATGGTCACTGATTCTCAAATTCACTTGCAACTCCTAAACATTTGTAAGCTATATATAGTTTTGATTTTATGTCCTTTTTGGATTAATTCGCTCTACTTTTATTTTCTATTGCCAAACATTTTGTTTGTACTTTGTAATAAGATGCAAAGGTAAAAGCTGCAACAAAAGCAATTTAGCTATTTAAGGTTTTGCGAGTTTAGTTCCATATGAACTTATTGCTACACATAGAATACATACTGGTTTTTGGAACATTAACACATCTGTAACCTGAAACACAATGACTTTTTTGCATCAAAACCACACTTTTATTAAGATGTTATCACAGATCAATTCAATTCCGTTTATTTCTATAGCACCAATTCACAACACATGTCATCTCAAGGCACTTTACAGTTCAACCAGATCATCCAGAAAAAATTGATTCAAAGTTTTCTATCTACGGAAAACCAGTTGATTGTATCAAATCACTGACACGAATGCAACCCCTCACACTAAGCATGCTTGTAGCAACAGTGGAGAGGAAAAACTCCCTTTTAACAGGAAGAAACCTCCAATAGAACCGGGCTCAGTGTGAGCGGCCATCTGCCGAGGCCGACTGGGGTTCAAGGAGACAGAAGCAGAGATACAAAAGGCAACAAAAGTAAACAGTCAGAGGATGAAGAGAGCACATCCAGCCAGTCGCAATCAGAGAAATAGGACTACACTGAAAAACAGGCCGATCTCAAACATCTGTAAACAAAGGTGTTGATGGCAGCAGGACAGCTGATATTTCTCCCCAAGATGGTCTCACTTCCAAACAGGAACAGACGAGGCGAAGCTACTAAGATCAAGACTTTAATGGCAGCATCATGGTGTGTGAACACTATGCTTCAGCAGTCACAGGGATGCTGATCAGGAGAAGAGAAATGGTGCTAAATAGAGACAATCTCTGACAGAGGCTACAGGAGACTGAACAATGGAGTGGATGTACCAAACTCTAAACATACAGCAAGAGCTCTGACAAAATAAGAATAAATCTAAGGATATTCAAGTGTAAGAATGGACTAATCTGTAATCCCATTCAGAATATATGTCATCTAATTAGACTGGTCTTAACCAGTTCTGAAAGTAACAGAGGATAAAGAATGTAGCTTTTAGAGAAGTCCAGTTGGCAGAGGCATAAAAAATAAAAACCCTGAAACTGTCTCTGCATTGAAAGGTTGTTTTACAAAGTATTGACTCTGCAGGATTAATACTTTATTAATTATGAAAAGTGAAGTGGTTTTAAATTTTTATTATTATTATTTTAATAACTAATTCTTTCTTAAAGTAAGGGCATTTTGCTTGAATAAGATAGTTTACATTTAAAATAAGAAAAAAGAATTAAATTGTCTTAGTTAAAGTGTATTTTATCTAATTATCTTATTTTAAGAGTAAAAATACTCATTCCATTGGCAAAACCTCTTATTTACCTACTTAAATTAAGGGTAAATACAGTTAATCTAAGACATTTTTACTTATTTCTAGATTGTTTTTGCAGTCTATGTTGTTACATATAAATCCTGATGGCCTAAAAAATTTTAAAACATTGTTTATTTGACACTTTTGAGCTCAAAACAATATTTAGAGGATTATCAGTTCTGAACTAAAAAAATGCTGAGAACCGTTCCTGCCATTATATCTTTCTGTCACCTCGGTCACATGGCTCATATTTGCTCAGTGTACCGTTTCTGTGGCTGCCCTCTGAGCTCAGAGCTGTAATTTGGACTGGCAGCTGACA